TTAAAAACTAACTATTTCATCAAATATTTTATTTATTTACTAAAGAGTGCATTTATCACACATTTTTATCACTATTTTTTTATAAAAATTTAACTTTAATTTTATCAATTGTCTAAATAAATTATTTAATATGATATTAGTATTGAAAATAAAAATTACTTTTATAATTTTTTATATAAATTAATACTAAGAATATATAATAAATATAGTATTAAACATGTGTTTTAAGGATAATGATTAAAAAAAACCCATTTAAAAATGCATATTATCGGTAACCGAGGTTTTGGGTGGTACGGCCACCAACCGGACGAATGCCCAGCCCACACTGAGTCACTTAAGGCCCGCTTCCGGTTTTACCAAACAAATGGGCCTCCAAATTCCCAACACGCAAAATGGAAGTAAAAATAAAATATATTTTTTAAGTAACTATTAATTAATTAAAATGTATATTTTACCGTTTAAATTATATATCAAAATCATCATTTAGTCTATAAATTTTTTTTTTTGAACAGATTGTCATGGGGTAGGCTTGAAACCCGTCCATAGGGGAAGGAAGAATGCACCTTAAGCTGACTAAGTGTCAGTTGGTTCGAAGAATCAAGTGCATTTAGCCTATAAATTTATTAAAGAGTTTTTAATAAAATAATATAAAAAATAATTTTATTAAATATATTTTTATAAACTACTTTGTAGAAAGTTTAGATAAATATCGATAATTGTAAAACTAATTTTTAATCATCATAATAAAATGCATTTGGCCCTTATAACTCAACAACTAGTGCTATTGAAAAAGTGCATATCCCTTCCGGAGCGGGTTCGAAAAGTTCGAAAAAGAAAAAAATCATCATGATGAAATGGTGGAAACTTTTATGATGATAGTCAGTTGCTTCAATTTATTGACCATTTATAAATGCATCCAATGCCATTTTTCTTGGACATAACCAAGAACTGAGAACATATTGTTTATTATTTTCTATCTCTAGCCTATCAAGACATCCAACAATATGTACAATTTCTCAAAAAAATATTTTCTACTCTTAAGTACACATATCGATAAAGGATAAACTATAACTAAAAAACAATAATACGTTAAGGGTCCGTTTGATTTGTGAAAAATGATCTTTTTTGGGAAAATATTTTCCAAAGATAATGTTTTTCTTTTTAAAAATTATTTTTTGGTGTTTGAAACATTTTGAAAAAAATCTATGAAAAATATTTTTTATTGTTTGGTATCATGGAAAATCTTCAAATTTTCGTAAACAATAACATTATAAATGCATTAATATTTTAAAACTTATAAAATTAATTAGAATAAAAATATTTCAAAATTCAAACTACACTTTGTCCATAGAAATTTTTTTTTCTTATAAAATGCATTAATGTCATTTTTCCTTGACATAACCAAGTAAGAACCGAGAACATATCGCTTATTTTCAATCTCTAACCTAACGAGACATCCAACAATATGTACAATTTCTCATAAAAATATTTTCTACTCTTAAGTATATATTGATCAACTATAACTAGAAAACAATAATACATTTGTATTGTAAAAAAATAAAAGTTTTTAATTTATTAATTATTTAATTAAATTTACTTGACACCAAAATTAATATCAATTTTTACATTTTTATATACATTTATAATAAAAAAATCACTACAAGAAAAATGATTTTTAGTGATAAAAATTTGTGATGAATTTTGAAATCGTCATTATAATTTATCACAATTGTGACAGATTTAAAAAATTAGTCACAATGCATACATATTTAATGATGAAGAAAAAAATTCATCATAAAAAATATATTTTGCTACCAAAAAATGTTTATAAAGATAAAATAAACTTTTGTCGATAAAAATCATCACTATAATGCATTACAATTATAACAAAATTCTAATATTGGTCACATATACCTTACACATTCAATGATGATCAAATAATTAATTACTAAAAAATATGTTTCGTCACTAAAAATTATTAATTTTCTTTAATCAATGCATCCCACATCGATAAAAAACACATAAGAGAATAAGGTTTTACACTATAATTGTATCCCATATCAATAAGAAATATTTAAAAAAATAAATTTTTGTACTATAAAACATGTAAAACTCAATAAAACTTGAGATTTGTTTGGACCTAATTAATTTTAATTGGGCTTGATTACTTTTAATAAAAATTGATTAGTATTGAAATAATAATATTTTTTATTAAACTTTTATGATAAATTTATATATTAATTTTTTGTGACAAAATTTTTATTAAAATATTTGTGTTGTAATTATATAAATATCTTTTTTATTTAATATCAATTTAATAATTAATAATTAAATTTTGCATCATAATTGCATTTGTGACGAATATTTTTTTGTGATGAATAAAATTATTACAAATAATTTTTTCTATCACTATAAAATTATTTTCTGTGATAGGTACCTAATTTGTCACTAAGAACATTAGTGATAATGGTTTTACTAACTGTTTAAATTTTATCATTAATAATAATTTGTGACCAAAAATAAAGATTTAATGATCAATAATTTAGTCACTAAATGTGAATTTTCTTGTAGTGAATACTCTTAATCTATACCCTTAAAACATATATTAAAAAAATCCTTAAAAAAAATTCTCAAAACTCTAAATTAGTACCATGCAATACCAAATCTCACTACAAGAAAATCTATATTTTGTGATTAAATTATTAGTCACTAAATTTTTATTTTCTATCATAGACTAAAATTAGTGATGAAATTTAAATAATTAATAAAACCCTTGTCACTAATGCTCTTATTGACGAATTTGACATTTATCACAAAAAAAAATTTTATAGTGATAAAAAAAATTTATATTATTGATGAGTTATTTGTAACAAATTTAATCATCAAAAAAAAAATTTTTTGTTACAATAATTTTCATCACAAAATGTTACAAATGAATGATAAAAAAAAATCATAAATGCAATTGTGATGAAAAATTTAGTCATTAATTATTAAAATTGATATTAAATAAAAAAATATTTATATAATTATAACACAAATATTGTAACAAAAATTTTGTCACAAAAATTTAATATATAAATTTATCATAAAAGTTTAATAAAAAATATTATTATTTTAACACTAATCAATTTTGACTAAAATTAATCAAGTCCAAACTAATCTCAAGTTTTATTGAGCTTCACATATTTTATAGTGCAAAAATTTATTTTCTTAAATATTTCTCATTGATATGGGATATATTTATGGTGTAAAACCTTATTCTCTTATGTGTTTTTTAACGATATGGGATGCATTTATTAGAGAAAACTAATAATTTTTAGTGACGTAATATATTTTTAGTGATGAATTATTTGGTCATTATCGAAGGTGAAAAATATATGTGATCAATATTAAAATTCTATCATAATTGTAATGAATTATAATGATGATTTTTATCGACAAAAACCTATTTTATTTCTATGAACATTTTTCGATGATGAAATATATTTTTTATAATGAATTCTTTTCATCATCATTAAATATGTATGCACTTGTGACTAATTTTTTAAATCTGTCACAATTGTGATAAGTTATAGTGATAATTTCAAAATTCATTACAAATTTCTATCACGAAAAACCATTTTTCTTGTAATGTCTGCTCTCTTTTCTAAATTAGTTTTATTTATTTTTCTAATTTAACTTAGGGCTTGTTTGGTATATTGATTTTAGGGTAGTAGCTAGTGGTTTTACTCAAATTGCTAAAGATAAGTATTTGATAAACTTAAATATTTCAAAACTGCTACAAATAAAACGTTTGATAAAAATTTTCATTTAGTAGTTTGGGGCTAACAGATAGCGAATAGGATTCAAACAGTTAACAGATAGCGAATAGGATTCAAACAGTTAACAGATTGAAAAAGCTAACTTAGATAGTATTTTATATCAAATTGTTAGTGGATTGAAATTTTTTAATTTTATTAACAAATTTATTCATTTTAATTTTTTTATTTTTAGTCATAGTTTTTATTTAATATTTGTTTAACATGTTTCAATTTTATTTTTTACTTTTAATAACATTAAGTAATTATTAAATTTTTATTTTTATATTAATTTATTATAAAAATATATATTATTTTAATAAACAAAATTTGCTATTAGACAAAATTATTAATTTTTTATTCAAAAATAATATAAGTTTTTCTTTGTTAAAAATAAAAATAAGGGTGTAATTACATTATTATAATTAATTTTATTTATTTATTTTATTATTATTATTTTTATAAAATTAATAATTTTAATAATAAAAATAAAAAATATTTAGAAAAAATACACTTAATTATTTTTAAACATGTTCTTATAAATCATTTAATATTAAACAACAATTGTTGATTATTGTATAATTAAACAATTATATCTATTAATTTCGCTATTTACTATTTATTACTTATTTTTTGCTATCCGTCATTCATTATCTATTAACTGTTACCTGTTATTGACTATCATTATCTGTTATCCATTACCGCTATCTGTTATCTATTATCTATTATTTATTATCCATTAAATTTTAATTATTATATCAAATAGGCGCTTAGGCTAATTTGAACTTTCGTTGCCATTTTAGAAATATTTTTATCATCCACTCTTACTTGAAATTATTTTTACGAATCCACCATAAAATGAATAAAAAAATATATTAAAAGTAGATTTTATTTTATAAATTTATTAAAATATTTTTATTTTTATTAAAATTAATTAAATATATTTAATTATTTAATTTATTTTATAATAACATGTAATTTTAGACCATTAAAGACAAAATAGAAAATACAATTAAATATTCGTTTATATATGACAGTTTAAAATACTTTCCCATGAGAAGATCTGTTTGGGGACTGGCCTATTTAGAAATTACAGCGGCAGTTGTGTGGTCCATTAGCGAACATTTGGGACTTGACCCAATTAGGCCCAAATCAAGCCCATAGTTGGCCCAATCAGGCCCAATTAACAGAAGTTTTGGGGCAATAGTGACCCACTAAGAGAATAATTGGGCCTCGGCCCAAATTTGGCCAATTAATAGACATTTGGGCCCAGACCTAATTAGGCCCAAATCATTTTAATATGCCTCAAGTACAACATGTTTGGTTAGGATTGATTGCAACCATTTCAGAGCCCATTATACTGTTTAAATTCGTTAACACTTGGTCCGATCTAACAATAATATTTGGGCCTAAAAGCCCAATGCAACCTCATGGAATGCATTAAGTATAATTTCCTTCCCCCTCAACGGTTTGTTTTCTAAACTCAAGTCTTAACAGATTAAACTTAAATATATGAAGAAAATTAATAATGGCCATTTACAAACTTTGAAAATAATAAAACATAAAAAAAAATGGAGAAAACTACTAAAGGGGAGAAACCTAAAATTAAAACATTTCACAATTATTTCCAGAGCTCCACACATCAAGCAAAAATCAAATCCATCAAGGCAATGGCTTGACAGAATCTCAGAGAATGGCCCATTGTAATCTTACAAGTCACAACCCATCATCGAGGATCCTGTGGGGGCAAGCAATTTAACAAATTCAGAAACAAAGGAGATAAAGTCTAAGTTATGTGCAATTAAACCTAGAGGCAGACAGTCTAGTACTTATTTAGTGCATCCACAGACCCCAGTAGACATTACATAAGAGTTTCACATAGAAATGTATAATTAAAAAATAATTAAAATAAAATATTTATATATATATTTTTAAAAAATTTAAAAATATTATATGCATAATCCAAATCCTTATAATTCTCCCAAACTTTTAAAATGGAGGGCCCATCACTCCTTTTTAATCCCCCAAACCTTCTGAAAGATTGCGGATGGGCCCATCACTCCTCCCAAACTTATTGAATGGAGGGACTTTCTAATCCCCCTTATCTCGTTCCCCTCTTCAATTCTAATTGAAAGGACAATCCCAAACTTTTTTAAATGGAAGGACCTTTCTTTTTTCTTTTTTTTTTTTGAAAAATAAAAGTATTATTGCTGAATCAGAGTCATTACATAAAGCATTGGGTTAAGAATCAACCCAAACACCCAAATGGAGGGACTTTTTAATCCCCCTTTTCTCCTTCCCCTCTTCAATTCTAATAGCACTGAGTAAAGAATCAACCCAAACACCCAAATGGAGGGACTTTTTAATCCCCCTTTTCTCCTTCCCCTCTTCAATTCTAATTGAAAGGACAATCGCCCTTCAACACTCGCTTCACCACTCTCCCTTAATTTGTTGCCACTTTTGAGTCTCTTGCTACGTGTAAAAAAATAAGGGAGAGTGGTGTAGCGAGTGTTGAAGGGCGATTGCCCCTAGCATTGCTCATTCTAATTTACATATATGTTATGCAATGACTACAACAGCAGCATGGCTTTCAAACTTCAGAGTATCTGTGTCTTTATAATGGTCAAATGCTCTCAATGAGGCATTCCCGACCACCAAATAAGAAATGAATCCCGATCAGGATGTCCAAGAAGCAGCGGAAACGCTCCTTGCAATGCAAGCAGGGGGTACCAGAAGTCAGTGGCTTCCCAACCAATTGCAGCCGAGGTTTCTGATGATTTGCCTCCTGTTCGAAGGTCGCCAAGACTTATAAGGGCTGCCGCCGACTGCTCTCCAAGAGTTCCTGATAACTTGCCCCCTCTTGGAAGGTCGCCAAGACTTGTCGAAAAGAGGTTGATTAAGCAAGTGCCGGAGTCTCCAAAACGACAGGATCAAAAATTAGCATTCGGCGACTGGGGTGTAAGAAAAGTCCATACTAGTATTGCAAGAACTCTCCTGTAGATTCAGTGGGGTGCAAAAAGAGCTCGTTCTGCAAAGAAGGGCCTGTGTACGCATGCATAGAGTTACAAGTTCTGTGGCTGAGAATAGTATTGGTTAAATAGTCATTTTGGTCCTTTAATCAATGGAATAAAAAAAGTTTTTTAGCCATAAGTACAAGCAGTACGTGGCAAGATGTAGTTATAATTTATATATTAACATCAATACCTTATATATATTCATGTGGCCAAAATTATAACACAAATCACTGATCCTAAACATTAAAAAATCACTGTACAAAACAAAATAAATAAACAAAAGTTATAATTACAGTAAACCATGAAGACATATCAAACTTATATTCACAGTAACCTTAATAATAAAAGGTGTAAAGAAGAGTAACAAACAAACCCAATCCCTATTCCAATGTCATGGTTCTTATGCAACCAATACTCTTGGCAAAAAGAACTAAATCAGAAAATTGAATAGAAATGAAAGAAATATAGCATGATTAAATTGGCTCTAAAGATTCTAAATTACTAAGATAAGTGGAAGAAAAAGAGGGATAGTTCTAAAATAGAAGGACAATCATTCCAACATTTAAGAATTAAAAAATTATGGAAGAACCCTTCAACATGCATCAAATATGGGCAAGAACTCATAGCCACATTCCAGTTGGTTTCCAATCAAGAGTGAAATACTATTCCATCCCCATTTACCGTTCAGGAAAAGTTTCATCATGATGTCACACAGTGATTTAAATGCACTAGGCACACCTAGACAGTCAAGGGGTCTCTTGTAGGCAAGAGGCAATGCACAAGGGCAAAGCACAGGCACACACTAACATAAGGTACAAAATTACAGAAAAAATCTATATTGTATAAAATAAAAAGAATAAAAATCTAGAAAAAATAGATATTATATCAAAGCTCCAAGTAAATTAAAGAAAACAGAATAATATAAATAAACATAGAGTCTAATATAACACGACATCATAAGCAAGCATAAGATCAAAACAAAACAAAACAAAACAAAAAAATTACAATTAAATTGAACTTTAAAGAACTAATAGTTGATCTATCAAATGAAACTGCTTATACTTAAGATCAGAAATGTTTAAGGTCCATAAAATCAGGAGAAGAGGACAAGGGCTGTTGCCATAGATAATATGGTCTGAATCGGATTGTAGGTGTTTTGGCTTCTTCTTCTTCTTCTATTTTTATTTTCTTTCTTTAAATCAGACTCATTCCAGTATGGGCACGTCCACCATAATTTCTTTGTATCCTCTAATTAAAGGTTTAAATATAAAATCCAACAAGAAAATAAACAAAACTTTAACGAAAACAAAGACACACAAAAGATCGACCAGCCTTCTGCCCACCAGCAAGGGACAAAAGAGGGGTGCTTAAGGTGAAAAGGGCTTGCGCTTTTCCACCTGAGGCCCGCCTCTTCGATCACTGATGGTCCCAGAATGCTTTAGACATAATATTCAATGACTAATATTCTCGAAATAGAACTAAAGTCTGTACAATTAACATAACTCATGGAAAATGTGTTTAATTGCTCATAAATCAAGAAATAGTCAGTTTTCTTGAACTAAGCCAAGGCAATAAGGCGAATGCATATAATCAAAGCGATTTCTAATGGCATGCTGTAGAATAAGAGAGCAAAATTATATTACTTTTAGTAGTGAATTAAGAAGAGATCTTCATTATTCTAGAGGAAAAAAGAAACAAATATAACTTCACAAAGATCAAATGATGCAAATATCATCTACTACTCCAAGAAATGTTAAGAGTTTGTCCAGGGCATATTGCCGCGACAAAGCATCCTAAGTACTTGAAAAGTATGTGGACTAATATATCCTTTTTGCTGTGATATTGCAACTGACTTTCATAGGGTGTTTATTGGATGAGAAAAGAGAGACGGTCCATAAGTTCATACTGTACATTATCAAAAGAAGCCACAATATTAGGGGTGAGCAAGTACGAGTATAGGTCAAGTATTTGTTCATCTATACTTGAATAGTTTCAAGTAAAAGATTTTGATACCCAATATATATATATTTATTTATTTAAGTATTGAAAATTTATACTCGTTATTTAACCTGCTAGATACAGATATATCTGTAGGTATACTTGATAAATATTATAACCTTTAGTACAAATTAAAACATAATTAAATTTCTTTTAAAACACATACTTTAGTTATCATAATAATAATAAAAAGAAACGCATACTTTAGATAATACCAACTACCTATGCATAAGGAAATATATAGTTCATGCTTATAATAAAATACATATATTAGAACACAAATACAAGTTCATATATAAGGTGCAATTATTGTATTTTTTTCATATGGGGTTTTTCTATAGGTTAAAAATACAATCACTACACATTTTTTTTGTTTAAATTGATATTGAAAAATATAAAAATTGACATTAATTTCATTACCATTGTCATTTATATTATTTTAATTGGATAATTGATTAAATAAAAGTCAACTTTTATATTTTCAATCCTAATTAATATTAAAAAAGTACAATAATTGTACCCTTAATTAATTATTATTATTAAAAATACAAAAAATTATCATTAATTTTACCACTAATACCATACAAATCATTTTAATTGTGTAAAGGTTTGTCTATCTTATACCTTAAGAGTAGAGAATAAAAGTGCATTTATTACATGTTTTTATCATTAATTATGTATTAATTCACATAAAAAAATAAAAAAAAATTAACATTAATTTTAACATTTATGAGACATGGATATTTTTTACTGGATAATTAACAAAATTAATATTAACTTTTAATTTTACTATATGTATTAATGATAAAAAAGGTACAATAAATATATACTTATATTGTGCTGGCGTAGGATAAAGAATCCTAATTGCAATACCAAAACTCATTTATTTTTTCAATGCTAATTAATATATCAAAGAAGGTGATTATTGCAATAAAAATTAGGGTGGTTGTAAATATATTTCTAAAAAAGTTTTCAGAACTCTAAATTAGTACCAGCAATACCAAATCTGCCCCCTTTTCTCAATTATTTTTATTTATTTTTCCAACCCAACTTAGGATAATTTGAACTTTCAGTACCATTTTAGAAATATTTTTATCATCCACTCTTACTTGAAATTTGTAAGGATAGGTACGAGGTGCCCAACCTCGGACATACGACAGTAATTCCTGTATAACTGAAGTGAAAGATAAATCCAAAACTTCCCGCTCAAACACCTGCATAACAGCGACAATAAGTATGCCCGCACCTGATTCCTTATGATAAGCTGCACAGCAGTTATGATGGATATCTTTGCATCTGAATATCTCTCAATTTTTCGGTCCCGAAATAATCGTTTGGAGAGACACGTTAGACTCCGAATATCTTGCTTGGCATGCCACGTGGATTCCTCACTGAAGCCTATAAATAAAAGAAGTATATACCGTACCGTACCGGTTTTTGGAGTAGACTGAAACGGAGTAAGAAAGGATTTCGTTTTGGTCAAAATCCGGTGATTTCGGTCAAATTTCAATGTATCGGCGGAAATTTCGACATACCGGCCGATACATCGAAATTTAACCGGTACAATATGCAAGAATTTCAAAAAAAAAAAAAAGATTTCCTGGCCAAAACAACGTCGTTTTGGCCAGCCCTGCAATTTCCAGCGTGCAAATCCTCCTCTGTTCTCGCGTCCAGCTGTCTCTTGTTAATTTTCCATTTTTTAGTACAGTTGCCGCCTACAATTCAAATCAATTCAAACTTAAAAAGCATAAATTTCATTTTTAGTCCTTAATTTTAATATTTTATATAATTTTTATCATTTAGTTTTTTTTATATACTTTTTTAGTTCATTTTTCATTTTTTTTAGTCCTTTTATTAATTATTCTATTAAAATTTTCTAAAT